GCAACATATTTAATCAAAGTTTCCTTTGGGATTTTACTCCAAATGTCTCTAATACACCCCCATAAAGTTTCAATTGAGTTGAGATCGTGGCTCTGGGGGGGGGGGGCATTGCATCATTTGAATGGTTCCAGCAGCTTCTTTCTTAGCTAAGTAATTTCTGCATAGTTTGTGTGAGTGTTTGGGGTCATTATCTTCTTGGTAGTAGAATCCTTTACCAATAATACGCAAACCATGACAGATCAGTATCTGATGGTACTTGCGCTGGTCCATTATTCCATCTATTTTGCAAATATCCCCTGTCGCAGAAAAACACCCCCAAACCATCGTATTGCCTCTCTCGTGCTTCATGTTAGGTGCTATACATTGAGGTAAGTATCTTTCACCTTTCTTCTGCTAGACATACAACTTACGATTTGAACTAAATATTTCAAACTTTGACTCATCCGTCCATAACACTCTTTTCCAATAATCAACAGTACAGTCTTTGTACTTTTTAGCAAATTTCAGTCTCATGATAATATTTCGAGATTGAAGAAAAGGTTTTTTAACTGCTACACCAAATATTCCATTATCGTTGAGTCTTCTTGATACTGTAGATCTGAACACTTTTCTGTCATTTGGTACATGGTCGTTTATCTCATGCTTGAGATCAATGACAGTCTTCCTTCTGTCCTAAAGGCTGCATAAACGAAGATACTTAACATCACTATCATTGAGTTTAGGTGTTCTGCCTCTTTCTTTCCTATTTTCAGATTTACCAGTCTCAGTCTCACGATCTAGGGTGTACTCGACAGTATTTGGGGAGCATTTCAAGTCTTCAGCAATTTGTCGGAGAGTCCAGCATCACGTAATGCTTTTATACAAACTCTTTGCCCTACTGACGATTCTCTACGCTTTTTGGGACGTGGAATAACAACAAAACTTAATATATAGTGTTAAACACTATTTTTAATCGAGGTTTATTTGTAGAGTGCTATTAAACTGATTTCTTCTAGCATATACCAGTACCATATACTAGCTCTTTGCTAGCTTCTTTCTATATAGTTAAAACACTGCAGGGGGTACCACTAACAGTTATTTCAGACCCCAAATTTGATCAGTATGTTCATTCAAGCAGAACTCTTATGACATGCTCTTGGTACAAGTATATGGGGATTCTAAAGAATGATAAGTATTCTCACCCTGGCTTATTCAATTGTCAATAGGGATCAGTGAAGCATTACCATAGTGTTGAAATTTACATTCTGTAATGGCATGGAAGAATTAGCTCCATAAAATGGAAAGAATGACAAAATATTCTCTTGTCCTAATACATTTAACATTACTGTATTTTCGAAATTATACATCAACGACTAAAAATGATATATTGGTGGTTGAAGTTACACATTAAGCGGTTCTTTCATTCGTTGCAAGTTTAAATATTGTTGTAATGATTTCTTATCGTTAGTCTTTTTTTTATTTGTTTGCAACATTCAGTACAGTTATTTGTAACGAGTTATTTATTTCTACAATTCCTTAGTGTTTTTATACGATATCTTTTTTTTCCCCCGAGTCTCTAGAAAATTCGCGACACTACATCAAATCTAAACACTCAGGAAATATCTAGGCGTAACATATCATCATTATGTCGTGCTAAAACTCCTTTTGGAAAATATTACATCAAAATTAAAACATTTAAACATAACCTAAAACAAAATTGTATATGGACTTAGTGGATTTTGTTCGTACGTTTTGATTATTCAACATTACACAGGTTTGTCCCATATTTTAAAAAAAAGGTACAATGTATACAGAAATGCTACCTACTATTAAATTTTTCAATTTTTTGAAATATGCTTCTTATGTGTTGAAATATTATTAATGTAACCATTCCTTGGGTATAATTATGTAGTAAACGATGGATCAGCAGCAAGTTTAGAGACTTGCAACAAAAACTTCGGGGTTCGATTCTCCGCAACGACAGATAGCTCATTTCGTGGCTTTGCACTAAGAAAACAACAACAATTAGTGATACAAATTACACAATTTGAATTAAAGTTTAAAAAATATCTTACAATATATAATAAGTCTTAACCGTTAGTATGAAGAAACTTCAAAAAATATTCGCAGTTTTATTATTTAAATGCTACTTGTTAATGAAGTAACTATAGCGAAACACTAGAACTTTCTATACGGGCGGGAAGTTTTATTTGTTTTCATTTCGTGCAAAGCTACTCGAGAGCTCTCTGTATTAGCCGTCCCTAATTTAGAAGTGATTGACTAGAGTGAAGGCAGCTAGTCAACACCGCCCACCGTCAATTTTGGGCTAATCTTTTACCAACGGATAGTGGGATTGACTGTCAGTTTATAATGCTCCAACGACTGAAAGGGCGAGCACGTTCGATGGGGGGAATTCGACCTGCGGATTGCGAGTAAGTTCCCTAAGTACAAGGGCATTGGCCTCAGGCGGGATGTATTAGGCTATGTATTTTCATGAAACTGGAAGTGCTGTGTAATCTCGACTCTGGATATAAATCTATGGAAAGATATAAAACACATTTGAACCACAGCTGCATAATATACTGGATGTTTCATTTGTTCTAAGGTCTAAGGTTCGATTAGCGATATGCTGTCGAATACGCTTCTCACTATCAGTTGTGGGGCGATCGTCAATCTCGTATTTCGGTTAACAGTAACCTTGTATGCAGTGATCGCTTCAGGTTCAAAATATCATATTTTGAAACATATATTAATTGTGTAGAAACGTGCCTTGCTGATAAAGAAAGATTGCCACAGTAAATTATTAAATACTCAAATGATAATATATTTGAGCTGATGTTGAGTTCTAAGTACAATACCAGTTACATAGAAAATGTTTCATTAGTTTTATTGCACGCAGTAGCTGTAATAAATCTGACATAAGATAGAATATAAGGATTCAATTCCTTATGTTAATTACACCAAGGTTGGCGAAGCATGATCTGTATATCGATAGTTTGTATAATTAAGACTGATAATAATTTTATCATACCCATGTTCTAGTATATAGCCAGTAAAGAAAGATATGATAGGAACTGTCAACTCCTTTATTCAGATGTAAAATATTAGTATGCATATTTATTGTCTCTTTGTTTGTTTTTTTCAAAACGACCATTTAGGTTGTAAATTGTTTAATTAGAATTTCTAAATAGCTACCTCGTTTTACGGCGCACGTAGTAAGGTTCATTGAACAGAAGTTCTATATGAGTAATCATAGCAGAACATAAAATTACTAACAGTTTTGTGATATTTCTAATTCATTATTAATATAAAATGTGTATATATTTGCAGAGTACTCCAGACAGGCCAGATGAGTCTAAACAAGATCAGCCTCTCGTTTTAGAGAAAGTAGAAGGTTACGGCCAGAAAATTTTAAGAGCTCATCAGACCCTGTTAGATATCTTGAAAGTTACTAACGAAAAATTAACCAATGGTTTAAATAAGATGTTTGAAAAGTTTACTTCATTCGTCCAACTTAAATCTTTGGAAAATTCTTTTCAACGTGTTGCTCAGAATGTTGAAATCGTTCATGGGAAGATTAACTCCATAACTACAGCAAATTCCGTCACCAGTACCTTGTTGGAAAATTTACAGGTATTGATTGAAAATGGATTTTTAGATTTACAGAATATTTTGAGGAAAGATCTCGATCTCAGGAACACGCTATCCGGTATTAAACATTTTATAGAAAACATGCAAAAGGAAGTGATGCAGGGAATCAATATCGGTAAACAGCATTCAACGGAAATGTGGGGAAAAGTGGTTGAGATTTTCAATTCCACTTTTTTCCCCGCATCCAATCTCAGAAGTATTAGAACAGGTTTTGAAGAAATGAAAACGGAAGTCGACAAACTAGGAAACTTGGAAATAGTAGTCCAGGAAGCTAATTCGGCTACAAACTACATTAAGGACGAAATAGACAAGTTTTTTGCTTTCAATCCTTGTGTGCAATCACAAATGAACCAGCTTAAATTATCCTTAGATACAATTAAAGATGAATGGTACAAGTTGACATCTAATCTTAACGACAGCATGAAAATGTTGGATAATGTTTTTCCACCGTTACAGAATGGTTCTGATAGAAAAGAATTTTGTTTACCGGAAGCTGCGAACATTGTTAAAGTTCTTGGAGATATCAAAACCCGACTTTAGCACTTTGAGACAGTTAATATCGGACCACATCAAGATGGTAACATTAATAACCGTTTAGACCAACTCAAGGATTTAGTGACACAATGTGTCTAGCATATTTATTATTAAAAGCTTATCTGAACTAAAAACACTAAATACGTGGTCACCTAAGATACCACTTCCAACACACTTTGCTGACTTTAAATAATTTTCTGGTTCTGCTATACCCCTGAATATGAGGTCCAGGATACAAATTGTATGAATTACTGGTTAACTGAATGTATCATAATTTACAAAATTTTAAGAGAAAATGAAAGTTAATTCCGACATCAATAAATAAAAAAGATGACCTTTTGTATCCTAAATCGTATAGGGAGTTTAAGGTCAACAACTGATGTAAAATTTTTAACTGTCAAATTGAACAATGTTTAGTTTACGTTGCAGGCTGAAACATCCACTCGAAAATAGGATGTTACGCATTCCATAAACTTTTCACTGGTCTGTTGCAAAATATAAGTAATTACTTATGTCTGGGTAATCTGAAAATTTACTTTTTGTATTTACAGATACTTATAATTATAGGGAAGTTGAAATGTCTACATTTTTCAAAGTTTTTCACGTTGCTCATTAGTAGTTACCCATTTACTTCAGACATTGCGAGCTAATTGGCTGCTTCAGGGGGAGGGTAAAAACTATGATGTAAAAATAACACAGATGATTACTTCCATGAAGTGGCACCAAAGGGCGCGTTCACATAATGACGATCGCGCAGATAGTTCTTGAACGATCCACCAGAGGGTGATGTAGATCAACGTGTCATCAACTTTATAGTAACTATTATAGTCTTAAAATTAATATTTATCTAATTTGCATAATGTGTTTACAATTATCACAGTTACAATTTAGCTTTGTGAGTAAAAAAATTAAATTGTTTTACAAAGACAGGCAGTGTTTCTATAGGCTGATAGTCTTACTAATGATGGATGATATTTCTATAAATGGATAGTTCAATAAAATGATGAGCTCATTATGTAATTACGTCTAGATAGTTCACGAGCGAACCATCAGAGGGTTATGTAGATCAACGCTTATATATTGCGTATGTTTAACAAAGTCGGATGGTGTTTTCATAGGTGGATGATGCTACTAAGAACAATTTTACCATAGTTTGTAGGATCATTGATTAATCAGTAGTATTTTACCTTATTTTCCTAGCATACATTTACATATATACGTCCTGAAAAGTACACATTTTTCATGATAACATCTCCAAATATCATTTAATACTTTAATATACAATCTTACTGTTTCACTAGTTTGACTTTATGGATTATATGTATTCATATACGATCCCTCTAGCCATATAATTATGATTTGTATTGTACACAACAGTAAATGAGCTGTTGACAAAATATTTTATTTTACACATATTGACAGTTACTGTATATTTGTCACACACACACATATATATATATATATATACATTACATGTGTTTTACGAAGGCTGACAGTGCTTCTATGGGCAGATAGTGTTATTATTACAAAGTCTTACATATTTAGTTGTATTATATGGGTCTTACAAAGAAGGATAGTGTTTCTGTAAGTGGACAGTGTTACTATACTTCCATAGGGCTGTATACAGATTTCAACTTGTCTCAACTTATGTTTACACTTTTCATTTATATATTTACTTGTATTACACGTGTTTGTACTGCTGAAAAGTTTTTATCACTTCTAATGTATTATTTTCATACATATTGAACAAGACAGTTAGTATAGCCAATTGTGTTTTTAAAGTATAAATTTAGCATATATTGTTTGTTTGAGTTAAGCACAAAGCTACGCAATGGGCTATCTATGCTCTGCCAACCACGGGTATCGAAGCCCAGTTTCTATAATTGTATGTCCACAGACATACCGCTCTGCTACTGGGGGGCTGAGTATATATTTAACATACCGATTATAGTTTTTGCTTCTATATCTACTTTGCATGACATACTTTTTGTATTTTCTGAAATTTTACAAGTAAAACACTTATTACTACTGATTCGTTTGTTCTATAGTCTCATTTCTATAACTAATATATTATAGAACATCTATTCATCCTGAAAAGGATGTTTATTTAAATCTCTAAATATACAATAATTCATTTTAAATTTATAAGTTGATTTGTTCCACTAAAGTTTTGTTTAAAGTATCTATGTAAATAACTATGTTTAATCATTACTGTAGTAGAAAATTATATTCTTACCTTTCTGTACATATTTTTGTTTCGAAAATTAAATGAACTACTACATATAGGTGTTCTTTCCACTTCTAGCTGAGCTCATTGAATGAAAATAATTGGAAGGTTAACCCATACAATCACCAAATGGTGTGGACACAAACCCTATTGGATATTAAGTCCGACACACAGTTAATGGTATGTTGGCCTTTTATTAAGAGAGAAGGCTGATGAAATTCAAAGTTAAAAATGGCAGAAAATTTTTTATGCCTGCAAATGTTGAACAAGTCAATTATAATACACTGTATGTATCACTATTTATGATTATACATTAATAAGATATAAATCTCATACATATATGTAAGCTATTCTTAATATATATGGTGGTTCTATCATGCTATTAGTTAAAAATAGAATACCGATTGTGTCCTTTAAATTAGCTTTCATACAAATTTTGTATATTATGTCCATATTACTGTTTGCTCATTTCAGTTAAGTATGTAATATTTTTAATGTAGTTTATAAACGAAAATGTTAGTAGCCAGTTTTGTATTTTCCGAGTTCATCATACTTTACAACAAAAACATTTTATAATGGCTGGAGACGGCTTGAATGGGTAATGAAGAAAAACTTTAATATAAGTACCTGATGATGACAAA